TATATTACCCTCAATGGTCAATATTACTTACCTAATAATTTGTGATCCTATTCCTATTAATTTTCATAATTTCATTCTCCTATGGCCCCCCCCCCCCCCCCGGTAATGTTTATATGTATGGCAGCTGCCATACATAAATAGGGACTTCGGCGCCACTGCACGAAATAGTAGATTTAAAAATTTTTCATGAAAAAAATATTATATAAGAAAAAAATATACGAATTGTTGAATATAAAAACCCAAGTTAAAAGATAGGTATAATCTAAATTCTAAATAGCAAGTTAGTTCAGTAATATTCATAATTTTTATTTTTATTGTTCAAATGGAGACATTTAAGCATTTTTTATGCAATTGTGCTTAAATTTTTAAAATGTGATTTTGGATTAAACTCAATTGAAAGTGAATAGGTACCAACTGAATAATTTGTAAATGGGGGAACAATTTGCATTAGAATTCTGCTAACATTATTTTATAACTGACGTGTTAAGTATTAAATTCATAGAACTATAATACTGGTAAATAAATTTTACATTATTTTGTACAAACTTTGAAGGTATAGAAAAGTTTTAAGTACAAATTAATATTAAATATCGAATTTATATCTTAATTTTTGGTGTAAATCTAATATCATGATTCTCGGATAATATTTATGTTCTAACATGGTTTTACCAATTTACCACATAGAACATAGAAACTTTAAAACCGTCTTAAATTTAAATAGGTACATAAAATATAATAACTTAATTAACTTATCAGTTTGTATAAAACTAGAGCCTAGTGGATCAGGGGCGTATACAAGGGGGGGGATGTGGGGGTCAGATCCCCCCCATAGGCTTTTTTTAAATTTTATAAAATAGTGTTCTTAATAAATTAATATAAGGAAATTACAAGGAAAAAAAATGGCAAGGATTTTTTGTAAATTTTTATTTTAACACAATATTCAACAATTAATTAAAAATAATTTACTTAATATTAATCAGTAATCATACCTATATTTATTTCATATTCATATAATCGTATTATGTGATATTTGATAATATGTATATTATATATGCAAGTATAATAAATTATTATAAGAATAATAATATGTGGCAGACCAGCCACGGGCCGTCGCCACCGTCACCGATATCAACGCGGCGGAGACGACGCCCGCATGTCCGTGCGTATAATAATACATTTTCCTATACATTAGAAAAAGAAATATTATTATGGTATAATATAAGGTTATTGCACGATCGTTTTTACTTTTTACGCATTTATACCAAAACATTATCAATTTTGCATATTATCAACTAACATGGATATACCTACAACATACGAGCTAATAGCTATCAGTAATTTGTTCATTGAAAGCTAAAAATAGCTTAAATAATAAATATTATTGACTAAAAAAAAAAGAAAATTAAATTTTGTTCTATAATTACTTGTAGAATTTAAAATAAAATGTATTGAATACATAGGCGTGCGCAGAGTTTAAGTTCGGGGCGTGCCCGTGGAAAATTTGAATTATACATTATACCCACATAGACAGAGTATAGTATAGATATTATAGAAAAAAATAGAACAGACACAAGTCAATATTAATTATTATTGGTTACTGGTTAGTATATAATATTTACAGATTCATATGTCTATTTTCTAAGGTGTTGAACTCATCGATGACAGAATCCAAGTTTATCCCACTTGTCAACTCTTGTTCGGTGAATAGTAACAGTTACCGTAGAATGGGGTAACTTTGATTTCGTGAGGTAACTTTGATAATATGATATTTTTATTCACCATAGCACCACGACAATTTAATATATTTTTCATAAACTGGGGTAACTTTGATAACACATTACGAAATGCTGGTATCAAAGTTGCCACAATTTTAAAAAGATTGAATAAAAATATCTCAGAAGATAACATCAGAAATTTAAAAATGTAAATGTTAAACAATTGAGGATAATTAGCTATAACTAAGATTTAATTTTTGGAATTTTATCGTTAATACTACAGAAGTTATCCATAAAATAAAAAGTAAAATTGTAATAAAACGGTACAAATTTATCAAAGTTACCCCATTTTACTGTAACGAATCTAATCGTTCCTGTTTCATCGTACTTCTAAGTTTTGATTTCACAATTGTCATTTTGGAAAAGACTCGTTCGCATGTACAACTTGTGACTGGGATAATAGTAAATAATTGTAAGGTTTTATAAAAACAACTGTAGGTAGAAATACTATTGTTAGTTTTCAGCCAATCAAGCCACAAATAAATGGACTCACTAGATGTACCATAAACAACAATCATTTCAGGTTTTATTTCCATGTGTAGCAAACTAGCAATAGCCTCAATTTAGCTTAAAGTTTCTTGATTGAATCTTGAATCCATTGCCGATAGTAAATCATCAAGTAGTTCATAATAAACTGATATCTTCATTTCATCTAATTTATTTTTAAAAAAAAATTGAGATTTAGATTTGTTATCAATTTGAGTCGATACTTTTTACGAATAACGTCTGGAACAATTAATCCATGTTTTTTCATAAAGCAACTGCTTGTTCAAAAATATTTTCAAATTCTTTATTTTCATTTCTCATACTTTTAAAATTTAATGTTAAAGACCGTACATTATCAATTGCCAACAAAAGATTTAGTTTTGGTGATTGAAGCACTGAGCTAACTTTTAAAATAAGATTTAATATTGGATGCATCATAAACATGCCAAAAATGAACTCAAATATTTTTTATGTATTGTTGTCATGAATGAGGATAACTTGGTGATACCCCAGTTCTCCTGTACTGATAAGCATGTTTGAGACATAGGGCGGTTCGGCCCTTGAAAAATCTCGGGGCGTGCCTGGGCACGCCCGGCACACCCTGTGCGCACGCCTATGATTGAATATATATATGTTTTATCATTTATTAGGTATTTAAATGAGCACATACCTAGGTTTAGGTATTTTCGTTCCATAATAATTTGTTTGCAACTGATCCCCCCCCCCATACAAAATTTATGTATACGCCACTGTAGTGGATACTTTAACCATATGTATATCATATTTGGAAATTCTTATCCGGCGTACAAGGTAACTATTATATTATTATTTTCATATTGACATAGTTAATTAAAAACAATTAAGTACAGTTTGTTTTTTGACACTTCTGTTCACATAGTATAAGTAGTTCGGTAGCTGTCCGTAGTATTATATTTAATTTGAAGAAATATTTTAGATTCTGAGCTGAGAGAGTACTGTGGATACCAGTGTACAGTGTTTTTAGTTTTTTACACTCGGTATATAAATGTATGGGTATATAACACCTTTATAATAATATACCTAACCGAACCTAACCTACACATTTTTTCTACCTGTGTACTCAAAAAATATAGTAATAGCTAGCTTAATAAAACCATACATTTATTTTATATGAATACTTACCCTTCTTCACAATATTTGTGTTATAATTTTATCAATTATAATATTGTGGGACCACAAAACCATATCAAACATCAAACATTCTTGAAAATTAAAAATTAGTACAATACATTTTTTTTCTAATACTGAAAAATATATATATAGCCATATAGGTGATATAAAACACTTAGGTATATCGGCCCTTTTATTTATTGTTTTCAGGCCAAAGAAGGCGTTTTGAAAAAAAGTTGTTGCAAATGTACAGTTTTTTTTATCAATGCTCCTCACCCATTGTTATTTGTTACAATTATATCAGCTTAAAAGTATTAAAAATATATCGTAAATTTTTTATTACAAGCTTTTAAAATTCAAAATTTGACATAATTTATCAAATTAAAAACTTATAAAATGTTCGGAAGTAATTAATTCTGTAACCAAAAAATCTAAAAAATATACTTATAGGTTTTTTAAGTTAAACGGGATTCCGCATTAAATAACGAAGATAACATTTTAGTTATTATTTTGTAATTTTATAATATTATTTCAACTTACCGGCTACCGTATTAATAATACGTAATAACAATATGAATATAATATACAACATCCTAAACAGACATACCGTCTCTGTTCAGAATCGTTTTTTGTATAAAATGATAATATTATATCATTGAATTGAAATGTATGTGACCCACTTGTAACCTACTGGCTACTGTACAGCAGAGTGACATCCACTTAAACCCGCTTTTTTAACATTGTTTGTACTACCTACATATTTTTGTTGTTTTATTTATCAAAAAATATAATATTCAAAAAACTTTCATCGACAAATATGAAAAGTGTTTGATTAGAACGAAAATAAATTACCGTTAAAAATGGTAGCCAGTGACGAAATGTCATAAGTCATAACTGACAAACAGACAACAAGGATGATCGTTGCACTAAGAGTCGCTTCTTGTCGTTCATATTTTTGTTTTATTTTATTTTCCAGTAATTGTTGCCTTTTTTATTTTTCGATTAATTACATATTTTTCGGTGTAATATTGTTATATTGTCGTTTGTCGTTATTCTTGACGATTTAATGAATAAGAACTTTAATGATGGAATAGTATTCCTCATAACTCAAACAAAAACAAATATGAAATAAAAAATAAAAGGCTCCCTTATTTTGTTTGTTCTAACATTTTTTTTTTTTTTTGTATAAATATAGTATAGTTGGCTTGAAAATGTTACGATTTTAAGTTTAAATATAATTCGTTTTGTTTCTAGTTTTTGAAGATATATTTTTTATACTAATGAGAAAATAAAATAGATGGGGTGGGCCGAATTTCCTTTTATGCAAATTAATATTCTTTATTTTAGTACTTCAACTTTGAAAATTTTATTGTGTATTCGATAAACACTGATCAAACATTTTATTATATAATATATTTTTTATAGAAACTTTTAATCGTTACCTATAATATTAATTTGACTAAACATTTTTTAGTTGATAATTAATAATTTATATTGTATATCTACAGAAGTAAAATATTTCCGTGGTTACGGGTTATCATAACGGATATTGTTTAATAGTATAATTTGTGTATACAGTTGCCTTGCAAAATGTCCAATCATGTAGATCGTAAGTACTTAACATACGTCAATGTGGCTAACCAGCCCAGACATTTACTATTTTTTTAGAAATCATAACAGTAATACGCAAATAAGTTTCAATTATCAATAGGTTTATAACTCAAATAAGTGGCTTATATAGGACTATAGAAGAGTGGAGTCAATGGACCAACGGCCATTGTCCATAGTAATGTTTTTGGTTTAATTAAAATATTATATTCACGTCATAATTATAAACCCTATTCCGGCCACCTACATTTTTTGTAAAATCGAGCAGAACAAAACGTGGATATAATAAAAGGGGGTTCCGGGTTTTTCGTGGGGTGTGCAGAAATTATTTCCTCTAGTATAGTTGGTAACTATATTCCTCGACGGCTCGACTTAACTATTTCCTAGGCTTCTTCAACGATATCGATATTTCGATACGATATCGATATCGCGAACTTTTTTTCGGAAATTTCGATATCGATAATCTTAATATATCGTACGATATATCGATAAACGATTATCGATATATCATACGATATATCGATAAATTATTATCGATATATTCGATAATCGAAATATATTGATATACCCCGGCCATTGGGTATTTACTATTTGTGTTAAAAATAGCACAGGATAACAGAAAAATAAATAATTAATAGAGATAACGCGATATCGAAAAAAAATTTTGATATCGATATATCGGAATATCGATATATCGATATATCGACATCAAAATTTTTTTTTCGATATCGCGATACGATATCGCACACAATCAAAACGATATCGATATTCAAAATTATATCGTTGAAGAAGCCTACTATTTCCTATCATAGAAAATATTCTTAATATGCCTATGCTCCCATACTGGATAATATTAATTTAAGTTTTGTATTTTAAAATGTATGTTATACATTTTACCTGAAATTAATATTTATGATAATATTTGTATACCTATAAAGAAATCAAACATTTAAAATTTTAAACTAGTTATCTAGGTGGCTAGGTATGTAGATTTTATACACTCCTTGGCCAATGCGCTCGTCTACATTATATAGATGCAGCAGGGTCACCCTATTTGCACTTTTTTATGTATTATTATAATAATATAGTCGTTATATTTACAATTTTACAATTGTGTATACGATGTTTCTTTATTTAGATCTGGCCCCAAAGCCCAAGTTATGGGGTTCTTGCCGTTTGTCCATAGCCTTTTGTGTTTTTTTGGCCGCTGTTCAGATGGCCATACTCAGGGATAATCTCGGAATAGCATTGCTGTGCATGTCGAAACCTGTTGGGAACTTGACGTGCGAACCGAACCACGCCAACGTGCCCACTCTGCCGTGGGTGGATCAGAAACAGGTATACGTCACAATGATCACAATAATATGTTGTTTATAGACTTTATAGTACATAAATAAAATAAATTATGTGCATTCTTACCATTGAATTTCGTCGCCTTGATAGTCGTAATACCTCTCTATGGTCTCCTCAACCATGGAAGCATAGAACATTAATGTTCCATGCTCACATTTCCTTGGGAGAAATTAACACCATTAATTGACAACTATAGTAGTTGTAACAACAAAATCAGTGTCGTCATTATTCATTAACTTAATAAATATAAAGGTTTTTAAAATTGAAAACTTGGTTATATTTTATCGAGTTTTTAATTATTTTATTTATTTATTTATTTATATATTATTTTATTTGTTTAAGTCTGTGATGAATTGGATATTTGTAATGATTTGAGGTGATACTTTGAAAAAAATATGTTATCATTTCATCAAAACTACCAACGACCGGCGACCACCCATAAATAACCAACCAACATTTATAAGAAAATTAATTTAACCATAGGTACCCTATAGATATACGATTTTTAGAATAATACCTCTTACGTATCTAAGCTATGTATAAAATGTTTCGTCATCTGTGGGTCTTGTCATCGAGAGTATACTCCATAAATATTATTTTTATGATATTCACGCCGTGGGTATTATAATAATTAATAAACTTATTATTACCTAAAATTTAAATTGTTTATAGGTGCGTTACCTATACCGACATCATACATGGGCTAAGGGGCTTTAGCCCCTCTTTTTGAACAACTTTTGTTATTCTCAATGATTTTAATTGTACATCTAATATGAACTAAAAACAAATTTGCCCCCCCTCTCTTTCATATTACATATACTTAACGGATGTCTGTAACCAAATACAAATACAATTGATGTAATAAAATAAAATAATGTATAAATATTAAATAGGTAATAATAGTAATAATAGTATAATTGGTGAGTACTTGTAACTTCGAAACACAATACTGGGTACTCCGCATTATATTATTCTATTGTATATGTGCGTATGACGGTAATAATGTATATATATAACTATATCTATAGTCTGTCCGGCGAGAGAACGCGCTGTGCACCGACCAAAACTGGTTCAACACCCTGCAATCCGATCAAAATTCGTCCGATCTCACGCATTCTCACCATTAAACCTTCCCGAACGCTGGCCGTCAATTCTGGCCGTCGCCGCCGCCAACACTTCCACCTGGTTATGCGTAGCAAGTGGGGAAATTTACGGTGGCGACTAGGTGGTAGAGTGGGAAAAATTTGGGTACGAAACCGCGGAGCTCCGTACTCCGTAGCTCCGTCATTCGGATGCGTGAACGAGAAGTGTTCTTTCGCCGGCACGAGTTTAGTCAACGAACGCGAACGCGAACTTGCATTTTTTTTTAGAGTTTTCACTAAATAATAAAATAAATAAAAATCCATTACCTTAACCTTAAAGTTTTAAGTTATAACTATTTAATAATATTATTCTTATATTATGTATTTATGTGCACCCGTCAATGATACAGAATTGCGAGTTCGAATGGGACTCTGCGACCCGTGGACGAATTTTGGGCTCGTTCCTGTACGGCTATATTTCGACGACATTGGTGGGCGGCATCATTTCAAACAATTACGGTGCTAAACTCCCGTTCATGGTCGCAGTATATGGAAACGTCATATTTCATTTCTTAAGCCCAATAGCTGCGGAGGTGCACACGGAATTATTTTTCGCGTGCCGTTTTATCCAAGGGATGTTCGCGGTAAAAAGCGTCGTTGGTTAACGTATAATATATGTGTTGATGGTGCCTATGATATACCATCGACAGGGCCTGCGCAAATAAAAAAACATGCACGTGGGAAGGGGGTGGTACTATGGTAGTGAGGCCAATAAGGCAGACATTATCAAACAGCTTGTATAGTTGTATGTGGTAGGTACTTATAGGTCATAAATGCACATAAACAGATAAATAAAAAAAAACATAACATTCGTATGAATAGATAAAGAAGAAAAATAAGAAAAACAATGCAAACAATTTTTTCACCAAAACTGTGGACCGGACTCGAGACCCATGTTTAAATCCCGTGTTTGAGAACCTCTTCGGGTTGGTCCTCTTATTTACCTTTTTCGTAACAAAATATAGCCTATCTTTTTCGCCGTGGTCTAATCTTTCTTTGTACCAAATTTCATCGCAATTGGGTGAACGGTTTAGGAATACATAAAGGACAAAGGTGCATACATTTTTTGTCTTTTATAGGTACCTATATATAGATAAAGGCAATACTGTAATAGGTACCTAAACATAAGTCATTTTCGTTACTTCACTGAATAAACGATATTTTATTTTGTTTTTCCGTTATACCTCATTTTGCACATTATTTAACTTAATATGTACTAGCATTGGTTATGAATCATACTATTATGAATATTATTGATTATTCATAATCAACGGTACTAGGTATTAAAAACGCACCCATGCGTTTTAAATTCATAATTTCAATCGGCATAAGACTGGGAAAATTTAACACACTAAGTACCTATACTTCTATGACTTCGTACACCTGCATGTTTATAATATTGCTTTTGGCTTTATCTATTTAGCTCAAGACATGTCATTAGTTTCGAATCACATAAATTGCAGATTTTATACTATATGTTTAATGTATTCATGATCCTTAGAACACAAAAGTGAAAAGAGATTAAAAATAATAGTTTTGTGCAACTTAACCCATAATGTAGGTATATGTTAAAATACAAAGAGAGAGTGCATATAATAAATTAGCGCGTTCTATCCGTATACATATAAATTGTACAATATTATACAGTTATTGCATCCGTCACGATTATACAGGGGTTGTTGGCCGGTCCGTTTTTCCAGTTGTTCAGCGCCTGGATGTCCGAGGACGAGGCGTCGCTTATGCTCAGTTTCGGATTCAGCGGTTACGCGTTTGGAACTATTATAAGTTACCCGATGAGCGGTTCATTGTGCGATTCCAATATTAACGGTTTCGGGGGATGGCCTCTAATATTTTACGTACCAGGTAAATGATACCGTTACCGCGGCAGATATAAAGCATCTTATAGATACAGATTGCTGGGCGGTAAATGGTTACAGGAGGCAAATTTCTGCGGACTATTTTAATATGACAAATTACTGGGAGGTTTTCACTGCATTTACTGTTTATTTAGTAGAATGCTGAAGTATATCCATTATTACTACCATTTACCTAAGCGTACCTAGGTACTACTTATTAGCTATAGACTGCAGACAAGTCTATATCAATATAATTATACAAGCATTATACCTATAATATACAAAGGCACTGGCAGAAATATAAACCTGTGGGAAGGGGGGATATGCAGCACATACTATTTTTTTTTTACAAGTGATAAAATAATTAATAGTAACTGAAAAGCGTTTCAGGGGTATGACATCTCCGGTACCCCCTTGCGGGCTCTGTTGCTAATATAGTTAACTTGATACTAGACTCTAATGGTCGAAAACACTCATAATGTGACTTATTTTGAGTTGAAAATGTAATTTTATATCCATACTAATATTGTATGCATTAGTTTTAGTTTTTTCTTACTATAAAATATATCAAAATCATTCAATATAATAATATAATATACGTCTAGTAAAAAATAGCTTCTTTTAGAATCCTATACAGATGTATACATTTTAAAAATCATAAAAATTAAATCACTTGACTTCAATAAATGTTTCCAACCAAGATTGTCTAAAAACCAGGTTTACAAATTGAATATTTTCAAGTTTACAAAAAAATTTAAATCAAATTTTATTTAATATTAAAAATAAAAAAAAAACTACTGGGAATTTTAAATGTTTACCTCCCCAAGCACCAACTAGATTCACTTACTGCCTAGTGTCCATTGTTCATACATAGGTATATAGGTACATATAACTAGGTCTGTTATACATAGTACCAATACAATTGTGACATATTTCAGCGACCATATCCATTTTGTTCTTATTCTATTGGCACCGATATTTGTACGACGTACCCGACAATCACCCTAACATATCTCCGGAAGAATATGAATACCTATTACAAAACATTGGTATATCCGATGAGGTAACTATTCTATATTACTACCACATTTATAATATGTATAATAATATATAGTTAGGATAATGACGCGAGTGTGCTATTCTGGACATAGATACCTACTTAGATATATGATATAACAACCACATTTTTATCATACATATAGAATACAATTATTATACATAATATAATTTTCTAATTAGTAATTAGTATTTACGGACGAATCAATAGTGCTGATATATGACAAGAGTCCAAATTTGAAATTATTATTACTTACAATTATACCTTGTATCTCCGTTCTAATAAAACAACAATTTTCGAGGACTGTCCTCTGGGACATGCAAAATGAAAAATATATCTAGGAGATGAACCTCCTCCCCACACCATGACCCCTCAGTTCAAGCATTGAATGTACGCTGTGACCACGGTTTAAGGGGTCCGGTGCCAGTCTTTCAAATTTTCCTCTATTCTATACAATTTTATATTTTAGTTACCACCTTAATTAAAATACTATTCTACTAATCTACTGCCCGATACCTATTTAGAGGGGATTGATATGGTGTATTATTATATCAAAAAAATTAACTCACGAAAATAATTCTCAGGCCTTGTAGAATCGTCGGATTTGCATTACTATTTTTTATTTGAAAGACTACCTACAGCGCATCGTAATCTTTTTTTTTATATTATTTCAAATTATTGTATAAAACAATTTGTAAAAAAACACCAAAAAATGTATTATTTTTAAAGACGTATCATAAAGTTTGAGATTAAAATATTTAAAAACAGAGTTTGATGCGGCCTGTATAGAATTTAACTCCCTATTAGTTAAAAAAAAAAATGTCAAATTTGGTTGATTTTACTGAACAAGGATCATTATTCCCCGTAGAGCGTATTTTTGTGTACAAAATTACATTGGCACCGAGTGCCTTAAGATTAAATTTAAGATTAAAATCTTAAACCGTGTGTGTGACTAAAAATGTTATTAATATTCTTTGAAATTGCCTAAGTAATGCCCCTTAAAAGTTAAAATTTGAATGTATGAAACCATCTCACCTAACCGTTATTTTAATAATTTTTAAAAATACATTTTCAACTCACTCTTGTGGTGTTTTAGCCACCAGTAATACCGTGGTTTTCCATATTCACATCATTGCCATTTATCGCGTACATACTGTGTTACTCGGCATTTTTGTGGAACATATTAACCATGATGAACAATGTGCCGATGTTTTTGCAAACCATGTTGGGTATCCAAACCAGCGAGGTGAACTATACATTATGCTCTGATTGATGAAATTGTAATCTTAACTCTGCAGTTTGTCTAATATTATAATTTTCAGAGTGGATATTTGTACTGCATACCATTTATCTTGACGTTTTTAACGAGAAATTTTAACGCTACAACATATATAATAGTCAAAAACTTTTCCGGACTGTCACATACCGTGTGCCGAAAACTATACTGTTGTTTTGGTAACGTACTTATTTGAAGTTTGTGACTAATAAGTACTACTATATTACTTGAACTCACTTACATTAAACATTAGATAGGCGCCTACACGTTTTAGATTTTATATTTATTTATTATTGTTATATATTTATATGAGTGAAATTTGAAAGATATGGTCATATGAATTTAATTTGTAGAGGGTGTTCGGTGAGCCCATATTCTTTTGTGTTTTATTGTTGTTCCATTAAAAAGCTAACACGGGAAATGGGAACCTTTATAAAAGTTAAAATTCATAAAAGTGGACAATTCGTTAAGAATTTTTATCCGATTACTACAGTAATCGGTACAATATTGGTATAATATATAGGTTTAGATATTTGTAATGTGTATATATAATATAATATTATACATTTTATTAGAAAACATATAGTTGTGATCAATTTAGGTTGATATTGGAAAACACTGAACAAATATAATAGGTATTATGCAGCATTAGGTACCCATTGTAAATCAATGAATTATGAAAATTATAATAACATATACCTACCTAATACCATTGATTATACATAGTATAATATAAGTATAATTATGTATAATCAATGCTAATACTAATAACATATTATATTTATATTTTATAATATCATGTACTATTAAACTATTCATTCGATAACAGGGTGTCTAATGGTTATTATATCACTAATGAGCATAATTTTTGAAGAAAACATCACCAAATTGCATGCTATCGTCGCAATATCAATAAACTTGGCTGTAGGTGACTTCGCTTACAGTGGAGGCTTCTTTCCAACACTCCTCGATTTAGCTCCAAATTATGCTGGTTTGTTGTCCGGTGTGTCAACGTTTATCGCATTCTTGGTTGCTTGTCCATCAACTTTAGTCAACAGCATCATTATTAAACAAGTTCGATAAAAAATACCATTATATTGTTAAAGTAAAGTCCTATCACTAGAATACGAATAAAAAAAGTTTTTTATAATAGAAAAATTACACCCTCTCCCACGCTCTCTAACTAATCAGTATAAATTTCTAATAAATGCTATTTTTATATTTAAATTTGAAATAATAAAATTCTATCTTCTTATAATCTATATAATTATATTTATTGATTTATTTTACTAACAAATGTGTATTACATTTTGCTTTAATGGTTATAATAATTACTATACAGACTATATAGTTACAACGTATACAAAGTTTTACTAATAATTATCCTAAATTTGTATATTTTTTTCTACGTCCAGAGGAATTTTTTAGACTTCTAATTCTAGTTATCAATATTAATTTAAATAAAAATGTATTTTATAAAGATTATAGTAATATTACCCGGATAATTCGTTTTTATATTATATTACCTTATGATTCCCCTTCCCTTCAATCAAATCTCATACAATTTGCTTATTGTATAACATGTAAATACATCAACATTTTTTTTAATAATAAAAAAAAATTATATAACTAACTAAAAAAAAAATTGGAATACCTAACTTCTTTTATATATTTTACAGAACACAAAGGAAGAATGGAATATTGTTTTTTGGATAATTATAGCCATGTTTGCGTTCGTAATGTGCTTTTATTTAATATTTGGATCAGCGACATTGCAACTATGGTCGATTAGCAAACTAGAAGTTCCTGAAAGAGGAACATTCCGGTCGACAGTATATAACGCATCTAGAAATGTGTCGAATATACGTCCTTCGTATATATTTTAAAATTAAATGTAATTTTCAGTTGCTATAATATAATACATATAATAATAAAATAACTACACTGTATTCTAAGCATTTAAGTATTTAACACACCCCAAAATGTATGAACTCATGTTTCCAGCATTAGTCATTATTGTGTTTCTATTAAGGGGATTCGATACCGTGATTTTCTGTTTTTGTCTAACACACGCGTGATATAGTATTTTAGACTTGTTTTTTGCCAAACACACCAATTGATCCAATGAAGCGATAAGAATTCTGAAAACAGATTTGAATTTGTCATAAAGTCTACTTGAAATCGACTTTCCCACATTTTTGATATTATCCCCCGAATTTTTTAAAATGTCATATTCAAAAAGAGTATTTAAAAATTCTGTTATTTAAATTTTTGGAGAAGTTAAAATCAAAAAATCAAAAATGTGGGAAAGTCGATTTAAAGTAGACTTGACGACAAATTCAAATCTGTTTTCAGAAATCTTATCACTTCAATAGATCAATTGGAATGTTTGGCAAAAACACGTCTAAAATACTATGTCGCGCGTGTGTTAGACAAAAACAGAAAATCGCGGTATCGAATCCCCTTAAACATGACCTACCTATACGTATACGTCCAAGTGTACAACGTACCATTACTTTAATCTTTAATCAAGCAACTGTGTATATTAATATTGCAATTCGAATCTTATTCATTCAATTTAAAATTTTTTAGGTAACGGTGTTGTACCTAAGCTCGATCTACCATAATATTTATGATCTACAAGATTTGTTGTGCTGACCGCAGCAACGGCTATAACTATAAACCATAGATAAGGGCCTCATTTATCGAGTTGACTATTCTACCAATTTAACTGATCTTGCACCTTGATAGTATCATATGCTTTGTGAACTCGGTAGTTTTATGAACCCGGGCTAAGTACCTACCTATCATATATGATATTCAAGACAAAATTGGCAAGTATAAGCAAAATATTAATGGCAATAATTGAAAGTTATAGTGTTATACGCGTATCTGCACATATGATACACAGTAGGCAGTCAACTTGTTATAGACCCACAAACTGGATCCCATAACCACCACATTGAATGTTTATGGTGCATTAAGAAACAGAAATGTTTTATACGTGTCAATGGAACTTCTTTTTGCATAATGGAAGGCGGTTCCAAGAAGATGGTGGAGATCCATCATAGGATTCAATTAATGATTATTTTCTAAATTACACGAAAGCAATATTAATAAACAATTTTATTTTTTAAATACATTTTTACTATATTTTATAAATTATTTGTTCGTATTTTAGATTCTGAGTGGAACGATGAATGTATTGATTTTACAATGATGTATGTTTTTTTATTTTTGTGTCTGTGTACACGATTAGTAGTCGAAATAATGCTCCGATTTCAACTTCAGTATCTTGTTCGACGGGAAAGTGAATCTAGTTGGTACTTTTAGGAGGTCAACATTTAAAATTTCCAATAGTTTACAAAAGCTCCCGGAAAAACAAAATAAAAATTAAGGAAAAACGGGAATCCTGAATTTTTACGCAAAATCGGTTTTGGCTTTTGGTGTAACTCTAAAACAAATGATCGCAAATATATGAAATTTTCACTGAATGTTTATATTAGCCTTTTCTATTCATGAAAAACTGTTAAAACAAAACCTTGTTGTTTGAGCATTGGTCATTGGTGGAAATTGGGGGGGGGGGGCTTAGTCATTCCCTCCAAAGTCCATGAAGCTCCCTCCTTTTTTAGTTTTGTAGGATCGAAGCCCCCCGCTCACATTGATGTTAATATTAGCCCCCCAGAAATTTTAACGGATTTCCGCCTATGTAGTTTGAGATATTGCACCACCTATTTATTTTACTTTGCCATCTCTACGATTTTTTTTTTACTTATCGGGTGCAACAACTGTTGCAATGGACATATTAGGTAGAGTTTTCAGGGAGTCAATGGCCAAATTTTTTTATGTATTCCTAGGTGAAGCAAAATCTTCAGATTTTTTTGGAAGGGCATAGCCCCCCTACCCCCCACCAGCTGCTCCTAGGATTATTTGTAGTACTATTTTAAGTAACATAGGTAGGTATTGCTGATATGCCAGAAAATAGTTTTTCAATCAACCCAATCAACAGATATAGGACATAGGTATTGTTGTTAAATGTTAACACACACTAACACTTAATAACATTTTTGTTTGTAGTATAGATTTGAAGAAAGTTAATGTACATTAATATTTTTCCTTGGTTGGTTTATACTTTATAATATAATCAACTCTTATAGATTTAACATTCAATCACTAAATGTAAAATCCAAAAAATTTATCTGGTTAATGAAAATAAATTTAAAATTAAATTAATCTAATATATTTATTAAAATGCAATAAAACACACTATTTATCAAATAAATCTAATTGGTAATTTTATGATGTGATATATTATTATTAATTACATTTATACATTTATTTATCATATTGGTATTATAAATTATTTGTCACCGTTAGAATCTTTGTTTGCCACCCGATTAACTATCATTGATTCAAATATACAAATAAATATTAAATACAAAAAATGAACGGTTACCTCAAATATTATGGTTAAAAATTACATTTTTATGTTATACATAACTCCCTGTTTAATATAACCCTGTAATAAATAAACCGAATAATGTTATACGTCTAAACAAACTGCATAATAAATTATAGTTAATTATGGCTGAAACTATTTCAAAATTAGGTCCACAGTTTTCTGCAATTATATTCTAACACGTGAGATTTCCGTTCAGTCACTATTCGCTATTAAATAAAATAAAATCAAAACATAATGATTAAACATTAAAACTATACGATAACATGGAGGGATTTTCAGTCTAGAATTGAATTGAATGTACAAGATTCAAATTGTTATCCACGGTGGTTGCTTGATTTCATGTAACGGCACATAAGTCATGTTTAATGGAAACACAATGGGTAGTTCTGTCATCATGAGTTCAGACATTTTGGTGTGTATTAAATGCCTAAAACACAATGTAATTATTGTATAGTTAAATATTAAGTTTAAATAAATATTTCAATTGAAATTACATAATATGTCATATCATAAATAAATACATTTTAATAATAATTTGGTGTTTGAAATTCAAACAAGAGGCAAATATTATTTTCATTTTTAATGAAACAACTTACCCAGATTTTCCAACAAGGAAACCAGCTGGGATGTTGGCAGACATTTCACTTTCATCATCAATCATGTGTATATAAGCTGTATCATCATAAATGTTGTTGTCTGTGATAACGATAGCTCTTGCTCCAGATATTTCTGATATCACAGTTTTTTTTAAGAAGCTACACACACTGTTTGTACAATTTGTTTTAAAAATGTTCATTTGGTGTTATTACGTTTTAATGTAAAATAAAATAGATATAATTACCCTCTTTTCACAAATGCGACATTCCCTTCAAGTTGCTTTGCATTTTTTGGCATTTCGCAGCCATGGTGAGGGTCAACAAGTACCAATTTTGTTTTTTTGGCTGGAAACTTTTCCTTGTCCTTAACAAACAAAAAATAAATCAGGATTCCATATTGTCACACTATGAAACACTAATTTTGACCCAAAATTGAGCTTATTAGTAAAAGGTATTTATTTACAAAAGGGATGCCAAAGCTTTTGGCCGGTCTTATGCGATATGTATACTGTAGTTCTGGAGGATGAGTAATCTCAAAAAATATATCACCACCGTATTCGAATTCTTTGATATCAACAATGGTCATGTCTCCATTTGTGACTGGAAAAAAAAGTATAAAAACATACATCATTATGCCATTATATTATTGTAACTATCAATATTGATAATATTTAAATAACTGGACGCTGAGGAGCTTACAATAAATGTTAAAAACCAACAAGACGCATAGCAGAAAAGTGTTTACGATAAAGACAGCTTTTCGTATTGAAATCATTTTCGTCACTACGGCACAATAGCTAACAGAACGGTTTGTCGATGTACAACTCTAAAGCGATCGCGTCCTTTTTTGTGAGCATTTTGAACATATGTTAGCATTCTATAACCAGAGTGGTTAATTATTATTCAATATTCATTAAGCAAACAAAAAAAAAACAAACGAACACCTTGAACAAATGAAACACATACACGATGGTTGTACCACAGACTAATATTGTTACGACTATACTGTGGTTATACGATACACGTTAGGACGTGCCGCGATGGTTATCATGTTCATCATCACCTTATCGTGGCACTTAGCCAAATAATATGATAACGCCTTCGTGTTATCTCAGCTGGTGGATGCGCCAAAGACGTCATTATGATCTATTATCACGGACTAAGATAAACAGGACTGGAAACGATAGACGGGAGGAGTGCGGGTAGCCGGAACCATAGTGTAACGCTTGTAGTACATGGACAAATGTGGCTCTATCTATTGATAATATTTAGCATTTGTTACACATATATTTATTTGCATATTATTTCTGTTTATAATAAAATTAGGTACAATAGTTTAATACATTTATACCACGGACTATTTTTTTTTTATAAGATAAACTAAGATAACTCTATTGTGACTCTATCTTAGTCAGGGCCGGAGCGAGGGGGGGTTTAAGGGGTCGTCACGACCCCTCACTCATTTAACCTAATATTTCAGTCGGCACATTAAGTATTAACACATTGTCAAATACAACAAAAATATGTATAAAATATAAAAATACAAAAAAAAAAAAAAAATTAAAATAAACCAATTAATTCCTATGGCTAATGAACTTTGTCGTTTGGCATTAACATCACCAGTTACCACAGCTTCAAATGAACTATGTTTCAGCAAGCTAAAATTAATCAAAAACCATTTAAGAACTACTATGACCAGTTCCCGATTAAATGATTTGATTATACTTGATTCTGAGAAAGACATTTTAGATAATATTGAAATGACAAATATGATACAAATATGGCATCGTTAAAAGAAAGAAGAATTTCGGTGTAATATATAATTATTATATATATAATTTTTTTATAATTTTTGTATTTGGAATGCACATTCTGACAATGTTAAATGATATTTTGTAAAATGTAATATATTATAATACTTATTTGTTATAAAAAATAGTTATTGTTTTATGATGCTCATTTAAAATCAAAATAGATAGAGATACTAAAAAATCAGCTTCGATCAAAAACTCTAAGTAAAAACTAAAAAGGCAATATTGTTGGTAAATAGTGATTTAAATAATTGAAAAATGTCTCTAGGATTTTGTTTATTCTTTATCATATGATACAAAAACATTATTAGTTTTATTGTTTTATTTATAAACGGTTTGACGAATTTTTACTCTGGAACAATATCATAATTAATAGTGAATATTGAAAAATATGTATAAAAACATGCATTTATCAAGATTTTATAATAAGTTTTTGCTCCAACATAGTATGGAATTGTCGAAACAAAAACTTGACATTTTGAGTGTCGCAAAAATTTTTTTTTAGTGTCTTATAATTATGCATGAATTTCAGTCGTCACTTTCGTTAACCACGACCCCTCACAAATATTAGCTAACGCCGGCCCTGATCTTAGTCCGTGATTTATACGCACCTATTAGCTCTTACGTATTAGCATTTAGTATTTAATGTACATTACATTTTACCAACTATATTATCTGTGGATGGCTGTACGGGATGTTCAGAGGGAAAAAAATACACTTTATTTAAAAGTCCAAAAGATGTGGTTAATTTAACTGCTTGGAATGAAGCAATTTCAAATGCCAAAATCTTAATTCGTGCTGGACACTGATGTATTAATATTTCGTAGAATGGATCATAGATGGCGTTAAAATTGCACTTGTACCAGAAGCGTTACACTGTAGTTCCATAGATGACTATCTTGTTTCCAGTCCTGTTTATCTTAGTCCGTGTCTATTATAATAGTAATTATTATTATGTCTATGGGATGCGCGATGGTAAAAATACTGGCAATACGATCTCGGAAAGTCGGAAACATTCTGCAGTCTGTACTCTGGATCCGATAAATCATAATTGTAATGAAAAGTTTATTCAGCACAACTCCAGTTTTTTGTTAGTGGTGCAAAAACTAAAGGCGAAGAAATTTAAAAAATGATCATACATAGGTAATCATTCAAATTAGTTAGGTACTACCATTCATTATGAATAGGTACTAGTACTACAAATATTTGCAAAAAATAATTATGAAATTCGTATATTATGGTGGTAATAGGGTAACTTACAGGTACTTACATACAATTAAAATATAACTAGCAGGGTATAGATTTTAGAATTTTAATATTTTATTTATGTAGGTAAATTGGTTTTAAAGTATTTTTTAACCATTTAATACGTGTTTACCTATTTAGGCATAATGTGTAATATACCTAAGCTTTGTATTGTAAGCGAATAAAAATGATCGTAACCAGCTGTTCAAATGCAACTTCAGATATCTACGAAAACCTCGTAAAAATTTCAAGTCCCAAAAAATTATATTTTTGAATTACAATAAAATAACTAAAATAGATATTCTTTGCTTAAACATCTAGTTTCATATAAATTTGAACTTTTGAAAATATATTTTTTAGATTTTGAAATTTCAGTAAGAACTATTTTTATGAGAAACCGTTCATTACATTTTCAAGACCTTTGACTTTTTTATCAGTTATTATTTTAGACAGTTATTATAGAAAACATTTAAATAATTTTTAACAGTAGGTACAAAAATAGTAAAAAATATTAAAAAATTATAAAAGTAGGTACCATGTATAATATAGAAATTAGAAAATGCTTATACAAACATTTTGTAAAAATTGTAAATATCTACAGTTATTTGTTTTTGAATTACCTATAATTTATAACAAAATAATAAAACTAATTTTGCCAAAAACGGGTTTTGTGTCAAAATATTCATTACTCCATTTTTGTTTGTTAGGTATTTCAAAATATCAAGATTTGTACGGGGAATTATTTACTTTCGCTTAAAAACAAAACAAAATAAATAAAAAAATATGAGTAATTCAATATTTTGGACAATTATTATATACCTACCTAATATTTTGGTTATTAAGAGGTTTTATACGATATTTTAATTTTTAAGTGAGTTATGAACATTTTAGAATATGAATACTTTACATACCCATAACTCACTTAAAAATTAAAATATCGTAAAAAACCAACGAGAGAACACAGATAATGTTGTTACCTAAAAGTTTGATAATAGGTCAATTCACTCTAATATAAAAACTGACATCCTATTGAAACTAGCCAACGAACATTTGCTATGTCGTATGTGTGTAAGACGGAGACAACACATGCGGGTGAGACGTCCTCTTAATAAACTCGTTTTATATGCTTCTCGATGTGGCCTGCTTGAGTCGACCGTAGTTGCTGGTCAACTGAATCGAAAATCCGTCACGCTCTGCCCGGTGTCGTGACTTCCAATCACGTCTGTAGTCGGACTGGTCGTAATAGTCCGGTGGCTGGGTACACGATCACCACTCACTAATTCACAATCATAGTATTAGTTCGGCCGTTATTCGTCGAGGCAACGTCAGCAATCGGACTTGGGCACTTGGCACCTGTGTGGTGGTTGGGTTGCTGGTTAGAGGCAACCGACAACACATCTACACAAGGTACGGTCGTCGTCGACACTCGACGGTGAGTTGTTCGTCGTCGTATCTGAAGGTTTGGGTGGCTTTCAATCAGCATTCAGGCTGGTTATAGTCTTGATTCTTGAGAGCTGATGCTGGTTTGAAGGAGTAAGTTGAAGTGATTTGTCAATAATTGTCATCTGACTACCATTACTAGTTGATGGAACGGCTTTGAGCCTATAAACTATTCCAGTATCCCAGGACCCAGGTGATAGTCTTTATTCTTTACTACTAGTGGTAGATTTGTCATAAGGAGATTGATTAGATGAACTTTACTTTTTTTTAACTTTTTGCCTATAATTATAGCTGTCGGTGAGTACATTTTGGAACAGGAGATGGGATAATTTGTCCAAGCCACTCATCACTCATATCTATAGATATATCGAATAAGATATAATATATGGCCAAGGATTCTGGTTGGTGTTTCATGATGCCGTTAGACGGATAAAAATTACTTTGTCTACCCGGGCCGTCAGATTTCAAGGGTGTTGTTTTCGCTCGACCAACGTGTTTCTGTATACTTGTAGTATTACTGGGTTTTCAGTATTTACTTTGTGGCCTCGAAAATGTATGTACCTATCGTTTACCGTTACATCTTTAATTTAGAAGTGGATATCAAATTTCGTCAACAATTTAAACTTCAAATGCTCAAAAGTATTTTGAGAAATCATATTCAACTTTTTAGCGTACATTTGTCAGGTAGGACTACTTAAGTAAACTATTAAATCTAGAGATTTTCAACTGATTTTTTAAAGAAAGATCCCTCTACATCTGTGTGTTTAGTGGACAGTGGTTCAGCCGATACATACATTTACCTACTACTCGTAGAGTGAAGTTAGAGGGACGTTTTTATAATCATGGATACTCGAAGGTATAGGATAGAGGGCTAATTTTTATTTTTGGATATTCTGAAGGCACTAATGAATTGAGAACTAAAACTTGACGGTATAGAGGAAATTAGTGCTTTTCATTCACCCTCTAACTTCATGGACCTACTGGACAACCACAACGCGTTTGGACGATAATGTGAGCGCCATCTATTGGCTTTAAAGCTACATTTTTTCGTTAGTTGGTGCTGCTTAATACGTTTTTTATTTTAGATTCCGAGCGGAGTGATGAATGTATTGATTTTGCAATGATGCTTTTTTTAAGACATTCTTTCTAGTAGAAAACTTATCAATACTTAAAAATATTAAAAATATATGGGACATGTGGTATATACACGATTTGTGTTTTTTAAGCATTTGAAATTTAAAATACTTCAAATTCACAAAAATTTGATATTTGTTTTGAA